GGGACACCTATTATCCAATAAATTCAACAATTTTTAAAAAGACTTTTTAAAATAATATCAAGGTAGAAAATATAGATTCACTTCTGAGGAGGAAAGTGTCCGACTTTGGCTCAGGTCATGATCTCATGGTTTGTGGGTTCGAGTCCCACGTGGGGCTCTGTGCTGACAGCTCAGAGCCTGGAGCCTGCTTCGGATTCTGTGTCTCCCTCTCTCTCTGCCCCTCCCCTGCTCACACTGTCTCTCTCTCTCAGAAATAAATTTTTTAAAAAACAGAAATAAAGAAGGTTGAGACAAATTAAGTTTATGGACCAGTAGAATTTAGGAGTTTTTATTCTTTTTAATTTTTATTCTTATGTTTGTATTCTAATAAATGTACTTTGCTCTATTTATAAATTTTTCTAAATTCAGAGCCTGAATACATTTATTTATTATCTGGGTGGAGTTAATATATTTAGATCTTCAATAAGTTTGAAACAGGAGTGCCTGGATGGCTCAATCAGTTGAGTGCTTGAGTGTCTGACTCTTGATTTTGGCTCAGGTCATGATCTCACAGTCATGAGACTAAGCCCCATGTCAGGCCCCTCCATGCTACCCTTGGAGCCTCCCTGGGATTATCTCTGCCCCTTCCCTGTTCACTCGCAGGCACCCATACACCCTCTCACTCTCTCAAAATAAACAAGCATGAAAAAACACTTTGAAACAAGTCAAATTACAAGCTAAGATTTAGCAGATCATCAATTCACAATCGTATTTATATTTTTAGTAGCTCTTTAGGAGTCCATAAACTGTATCTAAATCTCTTCCACAATTTTTACAGTGAATTGAAGTTATACTATATAATAATGTACCACATTATTTTCTTCTGATTTTCTAAGGCAGCTCTGTTCTCCATAATTGTTTTAAAATAGCTATTCATAATTCCGTAAGTCATCCCATTTGACCCTTTGATTTGCACACAATCTAACAGGTAATGTTGCAATTATGCAAAGTAATATTTGAAAAAAATAAGAAAATATGTTACATTTTTAAAATAATCTTTAACAGTAATATTGATTGGCAGTGTAAAATTGATGGTTCAATAAAAAGTGTCCTGCATTAAGAGTTAAGATCTGATTTCCAGCTTGGTTCAGATGCTAGCTAGTCCTATGACATTAAGTCATTTAGTTTTTCTGACACTCAGCATATAATACTTAATGAAAATCATTATGTAATTAGAATATCTCTCCCGTTCTCCCTTTCTCTCACACACACACAACACACACACGCACGCGCACGCATGTGCAAAGCTATAACTCTCATGACTCAATCATGTTCTCCATAATAATATTGTGTATCTAATGCGTAAAATGAGAAAGACCAATTTCAGCAATAAAAGGCATAGGTTAACAACAACTAGCAAAATTTCCAAATGTGGATTCTATTACTATTTCGATGCAATTTGTTAACTATTTATTGAGGGCCCGCATGTCAGTGTGAGTGGGAGGATATCTGAAGCAAGGGAAGAGGAACCTAGGGGATTATAAAACACTTTGCATATGCAACCCAGAGAAAACGTTAGGATAGCTACATTAACAGTGGGGTAAGGCAGGGGGAGGGTCAGGGGGAGCAGAGAATAATGGCGATAGTTGTGGTCTAGAACCAAAATTACACAAGGCCCTGTACACCCTATCAGTAAGTTTGAACTTCATCTCAAGAACAATGAGGAATCATTGAAGGGTTTAAGCAATTCCTTTTCCAATTCTGAAAACTCGTTAGGCTATAGTGCACAAAATAAACAGCAAGTGGGCAAGACTAGAGACAGAAACCAGTGAAGACATGGTTTTGAGATAACGGAGGCCTGAATTAGAAGGCAGCACAACAATAATTAAGAGCAAGACATCTGAGGTTGTTTGCCTGCATTCAAATCCCAGATTTTCCACTGCCCAAGTTGCTTACTCTCTCTACAGCTCAGGTCTCTCATCTATAATCCAGAAATAAAAATCCTCACAGAGTTATGCCAAAGAACAAATAAGACAAGACACATACAACACTTAGCATGTTTCCTGGCACAGAGTAAGGCTGCAAATGTGTATTATCATTATTAATGTAATGTTAATGGGATGGAGAAATGAGAAAATAACTAGAAGATGTTTTGGAGACCGAAACAGACAGTGAAGATAAAGGAAAAAGTGTGAAAGGGTTGAATGGACATGATAGTTGAAACACATAATGTCTGAAAGTTTTGAAGATCTGAAGGAGAAAATAGCAGTTTTTAATATACTGATTGTAAGAGACATTTAGAAAGCAAGTGAATGTATCTCTCTGAAGTGAAACAAACAGATCAAGCCTGGAGATCTGAGAATCAGAGAGACAGGTGTTAATTAAATCCATGGGGTTGATGAGATCCTCCAGAGGCTGAATATGCAGAGTGAAAAAATGCTGGCACTAAGTAGAAGCTACAGAACACCAGTATTTAATGGATGGGCAGGAAACGAGAAGCCTTCAAATGATGCTGAGAGAAAGGGGCCAGAGTGTGAGAGCTCAAAAGCCAAAAGAAAAAAAGAAAGTTTCAAAACACGGGGAATGCTCAACAATGTCAATACTGCCAGGCAGTGGACTAAGTTAAGGACTGAAAGTTTTCACAGGATTTAGCAACAAAGGTATTCATTTACATAATAAACATGTATTAAACACTGGTTAGACCTGGAGATACAGCAGTAAATAAGATAAAAAAGAGCCTTGCACACAAACTTCATGTTGTGAAGTAAACTGTAAACAAATAAAATACTAAAATTGTGATAAGGATCGATAGTAGAGATTAAGGGACATGAGAGAGTAACAGGCAGAGGCCAGCTTTAGACCAGGAATTTAAAAGCGTACCTCTCTGAGAAGGGACCATTTAAGCTGAGACCTAATGTAGGATGGGTTTAGCATGGTCACAGAACTGGAAGGGCCCTGAGGCTGCAGCATAATGGTGGAGGAGGCATGGAGCGGTAGAAGCCAGATCACGTTTGTAGATCATGCTGAGGATACAATGAGAAGAGTTTAGAAAATTTCTGTTGAGCATTTCTAAGTAGGGAAGATCACGCTAGCTACTAACGCTCAGTAGTTTGTTTTTCCTCGTCTTAATAGTAGTTTGTTATACTAGTCTTAACAATCGGAACATTTTACCACTCTTTAAAACCATTATTACAATATCAGAATAACCTTTTCTATTTTAAAGGGTACTATACAATCATAGCACGTTACCCATTGCATTAGTTTTACTAATCCCCTTTTAACCTTCTTCCACATTGTTATTCCTCATATTTGCTTGATTCTATCATTAAATTATATTTCTCTGAAATACTCCTCATTTTCAAGCAATGTATATCAGAATTTGAAGGTTTTAAAACATGAAGACTCAACAAGATGTTACTAAAATGTTTATGAGCCCATAATGTACAAAGCCTGATGGGTTCACTACACACACACCCCAAATAAAAGGATTATATTCAGAGATTACATTCCACAGCTTCAGGTTTCAATTTCCTTAATCTGTGTGTTTATACACATATATAAGATAGAGAAAAGTTGGTACAGAGAACTCTAGCTTGATTCTGAGCAGCTGAACTATATGTTCACATTTCTTTTATTTCCTTATTTGCAAGAGGAAGAATTTATAGCCCTTCCATATTTCACAAGGATATCAATATAAAATGCTACCATTTGCCTAGTTATCTATTAATAGGTATATTATACAAATTATTTTTCATCATCCCTATACATCAACAAGTAGATATTATACTTCCCAATGTACAGGTGAAAAACCAGTCTCAGAGAGGTTGAGTTACTTGCCCAAGACTGCAGAGCTGAAATTTAAACCCAGTTTTGTAATCAAAAACTCTGGTCCCTATACCATAATGCCTCAGACTATTAACAGACTGGGTTCATTAAAATACCTATCAGCTATAAGATATTAAAATATAAATATGAATTTTTAAATAACAAATATTATTTTATTAAATTTTTAATAAACTATATACAATTTAGAAATATTTGCTATATATACCATTTTGTATATCTCTTCCTTTGGCATAACTTGATTTCAATTTTTTGAATAATTAGCATGTTGCCTGGCACAGAGGAAGGTAAGATAACCACACTGTATGAAAGGTACGAGAATTACCATTCTGGGTCAAATTTTCTCCCAGTTAATACATATATTAAATCCAATGAACTACTAGTAACTACCTACCTATTCTCACAATACTTATTTGTCTCTCAAAATAAAAAATTGCAAATGGCTTAAGGTTTTCCTGAATCAGGAAACTCTAATCTCTGATTAGAACCTCTACATCTCCCTATTTCTCTGGTTTTGAAAGGCAATTGGTCTGAACAGAAGCATCAAAATTTGCTCTCAGGAGAGTCTATAGACTAATTGTATTAGTGAGCTCCTCTTACTAAGATTTTTCAGAAGCCAAGTCATCTACCAAGACACTGACTGAAGAAGTCTAGATATTTAACAAAAAGAAACTGCTGCCAGATCATCTTTATTTTCTTTAACAATACACAGAGCACAAAATTCACTTATAATATCACCAATATTTTACAAGTATAAATAATGTTCAGAATTCAAGTACAGTCAAGTGCAGAGATATTTCCTATAGGTTAATATGTAAACGTAAGCTAATTATATACATCATGTGCCTTTGGCCCAGCTGCAAAATAAGACACATCAAAAAGAAACACTGCACTTGACTGTTCAATTGCATTCTTACTGAGAATTCGTACCAATGTCTATATAGTTATTTGTAACTTTCATACCACTTAATGCAAATGCTTAAATAGACATTTCTCCTCCTGGCAAATATCTCAAGAATTAAAATTTTATCCATTTTTAATGATGAATTATTAAAAATCTTAATTGGGCTTCATTCCTTAAAACGAACACTATTAGAACTTACTCATAACCAAAGTTCTTCCTATGTCAAAATGGATATTATTTACAGGTCAGGTCACACATAGAGAAAACAAGAATGCTATGTTTGTTTACTTTTAGAAAACATCTAAAAGCTGATTAAACGGTGTGGATCTTTGTACATTCCAAAGGATCTTACTTTACTGGTATCACTTGCCTTTAATTTAATACCCAGTAGCTACACCTCTGACATGTTAAAAGAGCTAAGCAATCTGAATTCAAATGATATCAAGCACATCCTTTGAGGGGAAGGGGGGAAAGAAAGCAACACCTACAAAGCAGTAACTGACATCAAGACTACAAATGTCCAGTGAAAGGCACGTGGAAGCATTTACTACACTGCCACGAGAGATTCTCCACTGAGTTCAGGATTCGGAATAGAATCCGCTCTGGGAACTGTTGATTTGGCTTCATTCACTGAGGTCTCCTCATTCTCGGTCTCTTGTCTCTCCTCTGGGTCCTCTGTGCCAAACACTTTTTCAATCCCTTGGTTTGTCTGCTCTGTATCTGATATTTTCTCATCTGTCTGCTCTGTACTGTTATCAAGAATATCTTGTTCTTCTAAAGATTCTGAAAAGATAAAGAGTCAAGACTTTAGGCATATCCAAATGTTAAAACTGCTAAAGAAGATAAACAAAAGATAAGCACACACATACATGGACTAAGAAACAGGAGAATGGTCTAATATTATCCTTAAGGATAATATTAAACCCTTTAAAATATGTACTTGGCTCCCTATAGCAGACCATATATGAATTGGTATGAATGAAGGACAAAAGAAAAAATAATTTGGGGAAAACAAACCCATAAATATACTTTTACCCAAAGCCTGATATTTTCCTAAAATTGAGCAACTTTCACAATATTCAGGAACCTTCCTAAAGATGTATTTGAAAGTTAAATGTCCAAATATGGCAAATGAAGTTCCAACAGATTTATGTGCCATAAGAAAACAGTACAGCAAACAAAGCCAATGTATTAAGTCCCAGACCTGAAGGAACTATGTCCCTTGCACACAGGCAACCCTGTAAACAGTGTGTGTGTGTGTGTGTATGTGTGTGTGTGTGTGTGTGTGTGTGTGTGTGTGTAGGCTGTGCTATTTCCCACACTGATTTACATCTCTATTATCCAACACATATTCTGGATCTAGCTTTTCCAAAGCATGACAAGTCTCCCTTCAACCCTCTGCAAGACAAGTTCTCAGGATTTAAACCTCTGAGTCAGCATATGCTATAGACTGAATACTAAGAGAAGGAAAGGGTCTTTTGCTCCTTTCTCCATAGTAGAAGCTAAGTGAGGGTCTTGGTTCCTATCTAAAAATTTACTCCCTTTAAATTCTCTTTTGAGTTTCATTAAATTCAAATCCCTAATAGTAATAATAACTTTATTCAATAGAGTCCCTTTAATTCTTGAAAGGGTAGATGGGAATGTCAGAAGCCAAAAGCTTTGGGTTCCTATTTTCCAAGTCAAAAATAAAAATCCTAGCTTTTGTTTTTGTAATAAATAGTAACAAATATCCTTGCTAGGAGAAATATTGTTAAATCACATCAGCTAAACAAATAAGCATATTTTACTATGCTCATACAAGATCCCTTATGATATACTACGAATGTTATTTATTTAAAAAATCCAGAGGAAAAACCAGTCTACATTAGTAAAAAGATCAAGTTTAGTTCCTTTACAGTACAGGTCAGAGTCTTGCTAAATAAATAAAATCAGTTAATAGTTTTACAAAGAAATGACGTGCTGTACGGACACATGGAAATGTGGGGGTCTTACAAATTCATGGTTTACCATTATGTTTTAATAAATACAAATTATTTATATCTCACACACTTTATGCCAAGACTTTACAAAAATATTAAAAAGTAATTATTTCTTTAAACAGATCTTGGACTATAGTTTACAGAATTCATTACAACCTCTTTCATATATAGAATGATAGGCCAAAATTCCACAATCAGGGACATCCAAATTAATGAGGTTTTACTGTATGAAAATTCACATGATCACAAAAAGTAGTGAGGAATGTTTACAAATCCTATTTGTGTCAAATGTTACAAAAATGCCATTTTATCTTAAAAGGAAGTGAAAATGGCTTTGCTGTACCACTTGGAATCTCACAAAACTCAAGGTAGAGAAGCAGTAGGTCATTAGAGTTTTGTTATTTCAATGTTCCAGTGCATAAAGGAAAAGCAGAAAGTACATATGAAACTCTCGGAACATGTACAGATCATTTCTGCCACAAGGGAAAGCAAGTTCTTCAGTGGAAAACTTCAGAAGTTGCCAACCATTTGTAATTCTACCCTCTCAGAATTTATCCAGGGTAGAATTGTAAGAGTCATGGTTTTCTACAACTCTCTGGCCATTGAGAGTTCTTACTTGCCAACAACTTTACAATTTATTATATATTAGAAAGCCTTCTGGGAAAAAAAAAAAATAAAGCCACACAAAATGAAAAGAAAAAGCTCAGAATCCAGGACTCACCAATAAATGTGTTTAAGTGAATATAGGCCCATGTAATTTGTCACATTCTGTCTGACCAATTGCCTCAGTGCTGAACTTAAACAGGAGAAGTACTCAAGTTGATAGTTTATCATCTTAAAGGTTTGGGATGTAACTATTTTCAGAAGCAGACTCATCATTGGTCAAATCTAATTTAATTTTAAAATTCTGGGGTCTTAAAGCAGATAATACAAAAAGAAGTGCTATAATACTTAAATTTTTAAATGTCTATGAAGATGAATTCTAAGAAATACCATGGGCTATCATAATTAGAAAATGACATCATACAAAAAGTGTGCTTGTCAATATTGTATTTCAAAAAATATACAAAAGACTAAAAATTGGTGAAATGATGGGTAGGGCTTGAAAATAAGCATAAAGCTATTAATGACTACTTCTCTTCTCCCAGGTTAATTTGCAGAAAAGTCATTTTAAGAGCAGTAATACCACAGAAAAACTGGCATGTGTCATGATGCCTATAATGCAGACATCAGTCTAAATGACATAAATATTTGACTTTTAGGTGCCAATGCCATCTTGTGAAAAGTCATCCAAAGTCATCCAAACAAGATTTAAGTGAATTAGGTATACAAGATTAACAGAGAATTGCATGTTTAATAACTAAACCACAGAGCTTTATAATAAGATCATTAAGTGTATTCTAAATTTACTTTATTTCTATAGGAGAGTATCATTTGCCTATTCTAATAAAAACAGCAAATTTTTTCTGTGAAGTTATAGTTTAAAATAGCTTGGTGGTAAAAAATACATTACAAAAGATGTCACTATCTGGGCATAAAATACTAAAAAAGCAACCAGCCTGTTGTGCTCACACTAATTAAACAGGCCTCTTCTCCCTTGTGCAAAACCAGTTTAAGACTACAATTAAAACAAAGTTGCCTGAATGACCTAATACTATATGTAAGAAAATTTTAAATATCAGCGGTGGCATCCATAATGTTAAGAAAACAATATATCACAATGTGATAAAATAAAAATGACCCATGGAATTTCTTCCTTTCCCCACTCCTATCCCATCTTCTACTCTCACCTCAGTACTCTTGAGAGAGAAACTTTTTCTACCAAATTGTAACAGTTGGTACAATTGGCTTCCTGGCTTGGGCAAAGCCTCAACTCAGCTAGATAACTCAAACTCATAAAACTGAGTATACTGTATAACGAATTCCACTGCCTCATCTATAAACCACACACACGCAAAAATAAATAAGGTGATATTACCTTACTTTTAGGTTTTTACTTTAGCTCTTGAAAGAATAATTTTCTAAGAAAATTAAAGAATAGTCTAGCAAAACAAATTCATATATTTCCTTTAGAAGTATATAATTTCCACAGGGGAAAAAAAACCATAATTCTTTGTAGTTTATGCCTTTGAAAACTCTTCATATTTTAGTGAATTCATTTAGATTCTTACTTTTTATTCCTTTTACAATAACAAAAATTTGTCTTGCTAATGCATCAAACTTGTTTTGCTGACACATCAGTACCCACTGTATGTGTAGACTATAAAACTTACCCAAAGGAGAATCTGTTCAAATAAAATGGACAGTTTGTCTTTGAACTCATAGGTTTTAAACAAAGCAGTTTTTACAAGATTTTTCTGCCTTGAGGAAAATGGCCAACTTACATTAAGCAACAAAGACATGGATCTCATCTCATCTCATCTCATCTCAAAATTTAACCCAACAGTTCAATGAATAAAACTCAATTAAATAAAAACCACCTGGGAGAAAATAACTCATATTGAGCAACAGAATACCGTTTAGTAGTAGTACTATTATTTACCATCGGTGAACAAATCCATTAGATGAGTAAGAAGTGTCATTATTCGGGAATAATGTAAAACTATTAGGTGAAAGTGTTTTAGAAAAGAGAATCAGAAGGGCATAAGATCTCTATGTCTAAAATAAACATGCAAAAACATCCTATAGGCAATATACACTTTGAGGAAGCTGTACATAATTAAACATCAACAAAGGTACAAGCTTTTTGGATCTAATAAACAGAATTCAAAGTTTACATTATCAAATAGTTCAATTTCCTAGAGCATCTTTACAAACCACACTAAAAATAGAATGTTCTCTAGTTTAACATACCTAACAGTAACAGTATATGGCTTAAAAGAAAAAGCAGAAATCAATTACCAAAATAAATTTCACCTTATATGAATTTTACTATTTTTTATATTATTGATTAAAGGCCATGAGTTTTATTATTAGCAAGTTACTTCCAGTTTGAATAAAAGCTATTTCTTATTAAAATAATTACATAAGATCTAGACAGATACAACTGAGCAATCAGAACAATATTAACATTTTTCAAACATGCTAACCTAAAATCACTATACTGGTACACTAACAATATAGAAATCTCTTGTTCTAATTATTATCATAGTTAACAAAAAAGAATGCTATATATCAAGTATTCTGAAAAGCACACTTCAAAAAAGCAAATCTGGTAAACCACTTTACTGTGGCTTAGCAGAGATTCAAGTATTACTGCACTACTAGTTTAGCCATAAAAGAAACCGAGTAACCTAAAAGTAGTCCATTACTTTGGCATACCACATCTAGTATGCTCCTAGATAAAAAGAAAATCCACAGTCCTAATTTCTTGTGTTTCTTTAATATTCTATTTCCAAAGCATCTGGACACACAGTTCTAGAAAAATATTCTAGGAATCCAAATGAGTAATTAATGGGAGAAATTCCTTCCAGGTCTCCTTCTTTGATGAAAACTTTCCAAGATTTCATGCTGTTTTAAAGGGTAATCCAAAAATTTTTCAAAAGCCTTGTGTCTCATCCTAAATGCAAAATCTTCCAGTAGCAGAATAAAGACAAAACTTAATTTCAAAGTCTTGCATCATAGATTGGGGATGGAAAAAAAGCTTCTAATGATTCAAGATTATTCACATAAATGGTTATAGAATATTTGTTGAAAGGGAAATTCAGATGGTAAAAAGTCACCTTTTGGTTCCATCTGTGAATTCAATAACCTAATCTCTGCAGTTTCTGCAATTACTAAGGAGCTATTTTACTACTTTTAAAAAATATAAAAATTAAAGCAGGAAAGGCTTTCTTTTTCTTTTAGACCTCAAGTTTTCACATCAAGAATGTGGAACTCAAAACTATTAAGACCTCCATTATACTCATTATACTGGCTGTCGGCGCAGAGAATAGATGATTGAGACGATATGGTGTTACTTAATAGTTCAATTTAAACATAAGGGTATGCCACCAGCATTCACAACAAATGCAGCTTCATCTTTCATCAGAATACTTCCTAGTTGTTTACTAATGGACTGCAGCTTAGAAATGATAACTGTATATCACAGTGTTGAGACAGAGTCTTGGAGAAAAGTTTCAATCTTCTGGAGAGCCAAAAATGTAAAAAATTCTCATAGCCATTTCAATGAATCCAAAGAGAAGTATGAAAAAGTTACTCCTCCAAAGACTATCTTAACCAAATGGAATTGTTGCTTCAGTTTCCAGCACTAGAGTTGTCAGATCCTGCCTCAAGTTTTGTCTTCACCTATAAACATTACCTTATTAGGTTTGAATTTGAGCCAGACTTCGTTCTTGGGATTTCAGATAGAAAATGAGACATCTGGAATTTTGCTCCTCCTAGATTTGATGAGAAGGAAAGGTATAGCTGGGTGTTGTTTGCTAACCATCCATCTCAACCCTAGCAGAAGATATAAAGCATGGGACTCGTTATCAAAATTTTTATTTTGTTGGCTGTTTTTTCTCTTCTTTTCTTTCTTGCCTTTCTTTCTTTCTTTTTTTCTTTCTTTCCTTTTTTGTCCCAACTACTGGCTTTCAAATATTCACTTTAGCTTTCATAAGCAAGGTTACTTATTTATGGAAAGGACTTCAATTTTTCCTCTAGGCATCTTCAGTATGAAATTCTTTAGTTTTTGGTTCCAAGAGGCTGCAATAGCAAGACAGGTGATTTGCATGCAATCATCAGCTTCAGAGCATGACTTAAGCGAAAGAAACAATGTGGTGGTATGTTTGGAGTTGATGCTGTAGACTTGGAGAACATGGATTCAGTGTTGGAAGTATACACATTTCTTGTCATGGCTATCTGTGTTCAAATTCATTTTGATATATGTTAGTAAGCCAAAAGCCAAGCCCAAATCAACACACATATTTTAGGTTCACTCGTCAAAGTTAAAAAAAAAAAAAAAAAAGATATTCAAAATTTTATATTAAACTTCTGAAATCCAAAAATTCATTGCTTCATACATTGTTCTCAGTTGAAGCAATTTTTTTACTACTCAGTGTTCATATGGAGAAGAAATCAAATATATATAAATGCAATTAAAAGGATGAATAGAAATTAAAAGGATGAATACTGACTGCTAAATGCACTATGTGAATAAGCTTCTAATATGGATTTTTTTTCTACATCAGGCATAGCACCAAAATATCATGGCCTGTGCCATAATGTTAGCATCTCCATGATTTGGAGCTGCTTAAATAACAGCTCCCCACCTAATATTAACAACAAGAAATAGTTCGCAATTAGTAGTCAGATCTTCCACCTTATCTTTTCGATTTGTTTATGAAACTTCCTCAAGAAGTCCTAAAACAGAATTACAAGACAAAACTTAAAAACCAATGAATTCTGATAAAATCTATCTCTGTTAAAAAAAAAAAAGGTTGTTTTCATAAAGGCATACATCAGCAATGTTAAATCTTGTGCACCTCAATAAATTGTTTCTTTTTTTTTTCAATAAATTGTTTCAAAGAAACACTACTCCCATCAACATATTTAATCCAAAGAATGTAAGGATGCCTTTCCAATTCCAAAGTTTCTTGCTTCTTGTAACCTTACCAATTCCAATGGTAGGTACAAATCTATTTTATCAATGTTAATTACAAATTTTATCAGAATTTTACCCTTATAAGTAGTTGCATAATTCTTATAGCATGCTTCACTTAAATAAATTGAAAAAATGATTCAATGAAAATATCACTAGTCAAATCTCCCAACAGTTACTAGAAGATGTCACTCCATAAACAATGTATGTTTAGCAACCTAGCTGTTGCTAGCTGCTACTGAACACAGGATAGCCTATATTTTAAAACTGAAACACATCATACCAATCACACAGGAGGGCTGAGTATCAGAGCAATAGCTGATATACGCATGCTGCAAAATCTGATAAATTACTCCATTCTTATCTAAAAGCATTATGCTTTTACTGTTTAGCAGCAAACATTACTAAGAGATAAAACTTTTTAATTAACATATTCATACCTTCACCGGTCTGGTTCTCTGATGAAATCACACTTCCTGAGGGCAAGGAACCAATTGAACTTGAGCTCTCCACTGCCTGCCTCTTCTCAAAACTAAATTCTGGAAGTCTTGGAGCCTGAGGTCTAGTTTTTCTTGCAGGATTCAAGAAAAAACAGTAGGCACATCGAAAAGCTGCAGAGAATTAAAAATAAATAAATAAACAAAACCACAAGCCAAAAAAATTCAAGGACTAATCAGATCATTCTCCAGACTATTTTTGCAAATAATCAAAGAACCCTTCAAAAGTTATTTATCCCTTGTGAAATTACATCTGGTTTTAATAATAATGGCATGTGCTCTAACAAAAGCTAATTTTAAAGCACACTTTCTAATTATTATTAGAATATTAATTTTTAAACAGAAAAGTCAGTCAGAGAAAGACGGATATCATATGTTTTCACTATTATGTGGAATTTGAGAAACTTAACAGAAGACCATGGGGAAGGAAAGGAGAAAAAAATAGTTTCAACCAGAGAGGGAGGCAAATCATAAGAGACTCTTAAATATAGAGAACAAAATGAGGGTTGATGGGGTGAGGGTTGAATGGGGGAGGGAGGAATGCGTAATGGGCATTGAGGAGGGCACTTGTTGGGATGAGCATTGGGTACTGTATGTAAGTGATGAATCGTGGGAATCTATTCCAGAAGCCAAGAGCACACTATATACACTGTATGTTAGTTAGCTAACTTGACAATAAATTCTATTCTAAATATAATAAATAATAAATGAATAAAACAGAAAAGATGGAAAGTTACATAGCAGATTATCTAACAGCAAAACAATATTAATAATGATCTAAATGTATTACAGAAATTACATTTCTAGTCACTAGAATCATTAGGGATTTTAAAATCCAGACCCTTGCTCATTTGCCCAAGAAACTATAGTGCGTCATATTTAAGAAGCATAATTAATTTAGTAATATTTTTTAATAGTGATTGCACATGAGAATCCTCTGAGGAGCTTTAAAAAAAAAAAGCCTGAACCCACCCCAGATCAATTAAAACAGACTCTTGGCTGGTGGGTCCTGGGCATGGTATTTTTAAAAGCTCTTCAGATGATTTTTTTTTTTTTTTTGCTCTTCAGATGATTCTGATGCACAGTGAAGCTTGCAAAGGCCTAGAAGTTATACACTGTATGAGGGAAAAACCTACACTGTTGTTCCTGCTTTGCTCTGTGTTCTAAAGTAAGGACAATACTCCTGAACAATACAAACAGAGAGAGCACCAAAAACAAAGTGACATTACATGAGCCTTGGCATAGAATGAAATATTTAAGAGTAAAATATTTTAATCTAACTACCCAATAATTCTTACCAATGTATTCAAATTCTTCTTTCAAAGCCATGCCATTATGAGAAAAACACTGCTGACATATAAGGGCATACCTACATAAAAAGGAAAAATGACCAGATCAGTTACAAATGTGGACAAAGCCCATGAAAAGGCTACTTTAGCCATCACAGCTAACTAATATTTTAACATAGCTAAATATGTCCTGACAGATTAGATGTTACTTAGTAAACAATAAACAATAGCCTTTAACCTTAAGAGCCAAAATTTCAACCTTTCTAAAATATAATTTATACACAAAACTAAAAACAAACTAAGCAACAGTGAAATGAATATATCCTTACTAAGTTAACAAATATATTCGATAACAGAACACCTAAATTTCAGTATTTCCTAACATATATTTCTGAGAATAACAGACCCAAAATCTGTGGTCAGATTAGATTGGAAAAGAAAAAACCCCTTAGTGAGTCACAATGAATGTTATTAAAACTTCTGAGAGGTCTGTAGTCAAGAAATGAATTTGTTTAGTGCTGTCCAAAGGTTAACTTCCAAACCTCATGATTCCTGTGTCTATCCTAGTTATACGTCATCCTCATTTCTTACATACCCTCTCTGCTCTCTGTGTAACACTTGGCCCTACCAAACAACAACCTGTCTGTTTTGAATAATATACAATTTATTACATTAACATTAAATTCTAAATTTAAATTATAATAAATAATATTATTCTTTTATTGAAACAATAATATTAGCCAATAACCTTGTCAAATATTCTAGTCTACTATCATAAAGTATTTTTTAAAAGTCTATATTATGGGGGCGCCTGGGTGGCTTAGTCGGTTAAGCGTCCGACTTTCGCTTAGGTCATGATCTCACGGTTCGTGGGTTCGAGCCCCGCGTCAGGCTCTGTGCTGACTGCCAGCTCAGAGCCTGGAGCCTGTTTCAGAGTCTGTATCTCCCTCCCTCTCTGACCCTCCCCTGCTCACGCTGTCTCTCTCTCTCTCTCCTAGAAATAAAAAAAAAAAAAAAAAAAAAAAAAAGTCTATATTATGACAGTTGTTCTGCTCATATCATCCCTAGCTTCCTAGGATTATTCTGAAAATCAAATAAGATAATAACTGGAAAACCATTCTGACAACTGTGTCAGACATATCTAAATTGTCCTCATTGCTGTTAAAATCAGTACCATCACCAACTCCAGTACTGACATCTATAAAACTCCATTTCTTACAATAGAGTTTTCACTATTTGTGTGCTCTTCAAGTTGAGAAGTTTCAATGAAATGATTCAGTTTCTCTAAAAATAATCTTATAGTAGGGTTACAATATTTTTTGCTCTCTCTATATATTTTTCTGTATTTTATCTAGATACTTTATCCAAACTCTTACTGGAAAACAAGTCAATATGTACTCTTTTGCATGGGTATAAAATATTCTATTATGTTCTAAAATCAGGAAACAGGAGCCACAAAATTGTGGAACATCTAGTATGTGTGTACACACACACACACACACACACACCCTTTTGACCAATAAACTTCATTTTCATTTACCTACCACCCTAACAAACATTACCTGTTCTGTGGACCATCACCAACTAAATATTCAACAATTCTATCCAGAGCACCTCGTTCTCGGGGGAGAATGGGTCTTGCTAAAGGTGGACCCGGAGGATGAAGACCTAGTAAATAAAAAAATAAAATTTATTTATATATTATTCATATATTTATTCATATGTATAAAATACATTTAAATTTTAATTCACTTACCAAGTACTATCCATGGTTATCAGAACTTTTGAAAGATTTTAACAAAAATAATAGTAATTCTTATAAATCTTCACAGAGCACTCAGGTTTTTATTAAAAATATTATACTACAAAATGTGTTGAATTATGTTTTATATCAGAACCATCAACATAATCTATTAAGAAATGAAACTACATTGGTCTCTGTACAAACTAATTTTTAAAATGCCCAGACTCTTAAAATCTTATGTCGTAACAAATTAGGAGACTTCCATTTGGGGCAATAATAGAGTAAAACATGGGTCAGATTTACCTTCCACCTAAAACAACTAAAATACTGTACAAAATATATTATGAAACAGTTGTAAGAACATTAAATATCAGGCAAGGTAGGATAAAGATTCCTGAGAGACCAAAAGTAAGTAAGATGAACTCTAAGATTAAAAATTATTGCACATGCTGGGGCGCCTGGGTGGCTCAGTGGGTTAAGTGTCTGACTTCAGCTTGATCTCATGGTTTATGAGTTCGAGCCCCATGTCTAGCACTGTGCTTACAGCTCAGAGCCTGGAGCCTGCTCTGGATTCGGTGTCTCCCTCCCTATGCCCTTACCCCACTTGTGCTCTCTCTCTCTCTCTCTCTCAAAAAATAAGCATTAAAAAAATTATTAGGCATGCAAACAAGCAGGAAAATACAACTCATCATGAGAAAAATAACCAAAAATGACCTAGAAATGACAGAGTTTATAGAATTAGTACGAATTAATTAAAGTCTTGTATTTTGTATGTAAACATTTTTTTAAGTTTTGTGTTTTGTTGTTGTTTTTTAATGTGTATTTATTTTTGAGAGACACAGAGACAGAACATGAGCAGGGGAGGAGCAGAAAGCGAGGGAGACACAGAGTCCAAAGCAGGGTCCTGGCTTTGAGTTGTCAGCACAGACCCCAACACAGGGCTCTGTGAGATCATGACCTGAGTTGAAGTGGGACGCTTAACCAACTGAGCCACTCAGGTGCCCCAGTAGACAAACATATTAAGACACTTATTGTGACTGTATTCTCTCTGCTTGAGAATCTAGAGGAAAGTTCAATGTATTTAGTAAAGATAATGGAAAATATTTGGAATATCCAAAATGAACTTCTACAAATGAAAACTACCATGTCTCGTATGAAAAGTCTGCTGATAGGACGAGTAGCACTTTGGACATTACAGGGAAAAGAAACAGTAAATTTGAAGATATAGCAGTGGAAACCATACAAAATGAAACACAAAGAATAGCCTACAAATTGTTTAAATAAATCATCAACAAGCCATGAAGCAACCTCAAGCAGCCTAATGTGCATATAATTTGAGTTCATAAGAAAGGAAAAAGAAAATAATACTGCAAAAAATAATGCACAGAAATTTTCCAAATTTGATGAAAGCTATAAACCCACAAATCCAAGAATATTAACAAACCCTAAGCACAAGAAACATAATTTTGCACCAAGGGACAGATGATCAAATTGCTTAAGGCCAGCGATAAGGAGAAAATCTTAAACACTGTCAGAAAAAGGTACATTATATTCAGAGAAACAGAGATAAGAATGACAGATTTCTCATCAGAAAATAAGCCAAAAGATAGTAAAACAATATTTTTAAAGAAAAACTATTAGAAGTCTGTATTAGCAAAAACATCTTTTAAAAATGAAGGCAAAGTGAAAACTTTTTCAGACATACAAAACTGAAAGAATTCATCATTTGCAGAAGTGCACCATGAAGATGTTAAAAGGAGTCCTTTAGGCAGAAGGAAAATAACACCAGATAGAAAGTGGGACCTACAAAAGGAAAGAAGCATAACTGAAATGGTTACTAGATGAGTAGGTATATAAAAATTTTATTATTTAAATCCCTTTATAAGATAATTGATAGCTTAAAGGAAAATAACTATTTTTTATGGTTTACAACATATCTGGAAGTAAAATATATGGCAATAATAGCACAAAGTCCAGAAGAGGAGAAATGTACACATACTGTTGTTAGATTCTCAAACTACTTGTGAACTGGTATTATATCACCTGAAGGTGAACTATTAAGCTAAGATATGTACTGTAAATCCCAAAACACCCATTAAGATAACATAAAAAAGCAATACAGGTAGTAGGGCAATGAAAAAAGATAAAATAAAATAATAAAAGATACTCAATTCAAAAGAAGGCAGAGAAGTAAGAGAACAGAAGGGACAAACAGAATAAAAATTAATGGCACAACAGAAGACTGAAACTCAAACCCAAATATACCAATCATGTTGAATACATGTAGCCCAAATAACCACATTATAGGCCAAAGATATAAGAATAGATTAAAAAGCGAGACCTGATATATGTTGTTTCAAAAAAAAAAAATTAAAATACAAACACACAAATCGGTTAAAAATAAATAACAGAAACAATATATATTAATTCCCTAACACTGATCAAAAGAAATCTGGAGTAGTTGTATTAATATCATTATCAGGGATTAAAAGGGTAATTTTATAATGATAAAGGAGTCAATTTATCAAAAGAACACAATAATCCTAAACATATATGTGCATCATAACAGAGCTTCAAAACACATGAAGCAGAAACAGAAGTACAAAAAGAAATAAATATACATTGGGTATGTATGTATACTATATATGTATACACAACTGTATACATAATATATATGCAATAGTATACATAATATACATATAATAGTATATCTGTATATATATATACATATAAAACGGTATTTATTTATTTATATACACAAAATAATACAGTTGGAGACTTCAACAGCTTTCTCTCAACAATTGACAGAATAAACACAGAAATCAGTAATGACATAAAAGACATGAACAACACTGCCTGCTACCAACTTGACCTAACTGACATTCATAGCTCCTCTACCCAACAGGAACAGAATATGTATTCAAGTGAATATAAAACATTTACCAAGACAGATAATATTCTGAGACATAAAACAAGTTTCAGTACATTTAAGAAGATTTAAATAATACAAAGTATGTTTTCTGAACACAACAGAATTAAATCAGCAACAGAAAGACATCAAGGAAATCTCCAAATATTTGGAAACTAAATAACATACATATAGATAACCCAGGGTTCAAAGAAAAATTAAAAATGGAATTTTTAATTGAAAAAAAATGAAAAAACAACATATCAAATTTATGATATGCAGCTAAAGCAGTACTTAGAGGATTATTTATAACACTAAACATCTATCAAAGGCGGGTAAATCTAAAATTCATGAACTCAACTTTCACCTTAAGAAACTAAAAGAGAAGAGCAAATGAAACCCAAGATAAACAGAATGAAGTAAAAGAGTAAATTGATAAAATAGAAAATATAAAAATATTTGAGAAAATCTGGTTCTTTTGAGAAGATCAAAACTGATAAACCTTAAGTCAGACTAATCAGAGGAAAAAAGGGAAGATAAAAAATACTACCATCAGGAATGAAAGAAATGGCATAAATCTAAATTATAAAGATATCAAAAGGATAATAAAAGTATAATGCATAGCTTTATGCCAATAAATTCAAAAGTTAAGTGAAATAGACAAATCCTTTGAAAGAATACGAAAATACCACAGCTTACTCAGCAAGAAATAGGTAATTATTCAGTATGCTAAAATTTTATTCAGAACTTTTATATCTATGTTCCTGAAGGATATTAGTCTGTAGATTTTTTCCAACTGAATTTTTAGTTTAAAAATAAAAACAAAACAAAAAAAAGCCTTCCACAAAGAAAACACCAGAGTCAGATGCTTCAACCTGTAAATTCTACCATTTAAGAAATCATATAAACTCTCCACACACTTGTCTATAAAATTAAAGATGATAGAATACTTTCTCATACCTGTGACAGCAAAACCAGGCAAAGACATTACTAGGAAAAAAAAATACTATTGATCAATATCCCTAAGAAAAATTAATGCAAACATTTTTAACAAACTTTTAGCAAATAAAACCCAGCAATATATATAAAAATAAAACACCATGACTAGGTCAGATACACCCTAGGAAAGCAAGACAGTCTAACATTTAAAAATCAATGTATTTCACTATATGAACAGACATATAAACAAAGAATAAACTAAAACCCCATTATTAGCATCTCAAGAGATGCAGAAAAATATGATAAAATCCATTGTCCATTATTGCTAACAATCTTCAGCTACCTTGAAATGGAAGGGTGCTTCCTCAACCTGATAAAAACTATCTATATAAAACAAAACAACAACAAAAAACCCTACAGCTAACATCATGCTAAATGGCAAAAAAGTAACTGCTTTCCTCCTAAGATCAGCAATCTGTTTTTACCACTTTTTTTTTTTTAATATTTTAAGTAATCTTTATACCCAACGTGGGGCTTGAACTCACAATCACAAGATCAAAAGTCACACACTCCATCTGCACCAACCAGGTGGTAAAACACTTCTACTTAACATTGTACTAAAGGTTCTATCTAGCTAGTGTAATAAGGTAAGAGTAAGAAATAAAAGAAATCCAGATTAGACAAGAAGTGGAATAACCGTTAGTCACAGACAATGTTAGAGTCTATGTAGAAAATACTATAGAATCTATTAAAAAACTAATAAAACTCGTACATTTAACAAGATTACAGGATATAAGACCAAAAGACAAAATTCAATTGTATTTCTATATATTAGCAATGAACAACTGGAGATACCAAAACAAAGCCATTTACATTGGATCAAAAGTTGGAAATAATTACATATACATTTGACCAAAAAACCATACAAGGTCTATATACTAAATAGTACAAAACATTACTGAGAAAAACTGAAGATTTAAACAAATAGATATACTGTGTTCATGTAATAAACTAGGCAATATCAGAAGAGATAAATGGAGAGTAGAGAGTAAAGGAATAACCCAGTTTGGCGAGGGGGGAGGGAGGCTTTTTCATTACTTTTCTTTTTGAGAGAGAGCAAGTGCAAGGAGACTAGAGAGGCAGGGAGAGAGAGAATCTTAAGCAGGCTCCACGCTCAGTGCAGAGCCTGATGTGGGGCTCAATCCCACAACGCTGGGATCATGACCTGAGCAGAAATCAAGATTCAGATGCTCAACTGACTGAGCCATCTAGGTGTCCCAATAACCTAGTTTTAATTAATGATTTACATCACATAAACACACTGACAACAAAAATGAAGAGTTATGAACTGTAACTCCACAATCTTTGAAAGCTCAAAGAGAATCATTTGTAGGAGATACTCTGAACTGAGAGACAACACAGAAAGCAGCACTAACAAGAAAGTGAGAGAATAAAATAAGTGATGTTTGCCTTTGTAAAGAAAGGCAGGATGAACACAACAATAGATGGGCAGCAATGAAGATTTACATGAAGACCTCACAGAAGACTTTGCAACAAAATGAGACCTTGCTGGAATAAGCCTTGCAACACAAGGATACAAGGTTTTCTGACAAAAACTTTAAAGTATTCAAGAATGGCTTAAGAGTAACAAGTTAACTCTATTAACATTTTAAAGGATAATAAAAGAGATTTGCTTTGTAAATAATCACAAACCTACAGGCTGGTACCATCTAAAAAAGGGCAAATTGTAGCAATTTGTCAAAATTGTAGCAATTAACAAATGAAATTTAAGTTCTAGAATAAGTTCTTCATATATCAAACCAAGAACATTTTTCAGATTTTATCAGATATTAATTTACTTGTATTAATATTCAATCATTATCAAAAAGTAAACCTGAATGTAAACACTTAGATAATGCACACTCATTATCAAATTTTCAACTAGAATAAGTATGCCAAATTATATCTTGAAATCATTTAAGTCAAATTAACTTTTGCTAGAATATTTTACTTCTACATGTTTAAAATGAAAATGTCCATAAAGGAATTTGGATACATAAAATAACAGACTTCATAAAAAATATCTTAAATGCTATGCATACTGATAACTTTTAAAATAACACATCTTCATATTCATGCTATTATGGATAACAGTAATTAATACAAACATCAAAAGCAATCACTGTAGAAATACTGGTCATTTTTACACAGCTTGGCAAATTATCAAGTACCTGCTGGTTATTAATTTTCAAACATATGGGAGCCCTGTGGTAATACACATTAGATTGATTCTCTTCCACAAATATGCCATAATGAAAAAATGAATTATTAATCTTCTCTATAAGAAATCATTTAACTCATTCATATTTTTGACAATGTACAACTTAAATAGTCTTCTACATGGAAAACAAAGAAATTTAGTAAAATACGATTTATTTACATGATCATGAAATTTAGGCCATTGTTCCCTCTATAACCCTATTCTTGTATGTGCAATACCGTTTTTATTACTTTATATAGGTAGCTCGCGCTCTCTCTCTCAAAATAAGTAAATATACTTTTATTTCCTTAAAACTAATTAGATACACAAATGCATATAATTCATGCATTCTCAGGCCAAAAAAGTTCTTTCATAACTTTTCAATAACTAACAACCTTACAAATCATGGATATCTCAAATCAATTAGATAACAACAGAAAGATAAATAATTTTCATTCAACTTAATTTTTCTCACTTTCACAAAATATACAGCTGTCTTAAGTGACATCATTATATGTCAAATTTAAAAGTATTTTTTCAGTAACTACTTTAAAAGTTATGATTTATATGCATTTCATTTGCAGCCAGCTTCTTAATTTGCTTATAAATTAACATTTTTCTAAAATCTTGTGCTCCTTTTTTTTGAAGGTAAAGCAGGAAAAAACTCTGTCATAGTAACATTTAGATTACTTATTATGTAAGTGCCCTGAATACTTGATATCAACTACTGACTAGCCTCAAAATCATTATAAATTATAGGTTGGTAATTAGTCATGAAATAACAAAGTCATCTAAATTAGAATTCAATATCCTAAAATAAGATAAATAGGGGCCCTGGTTAGCTTAGTTGGTTAAACGTCCAACTCAGCTCAGGTCATGATCTCACGGTTCAGGGATCGAGCCCCATATCCAGCTCTGCACTGACAACATGGATCCTGCTTGAGATTCTCTCCCTCCCTCTCTCTGCCCCACGTGTGTATGTACTCTCTCTCTCTCTCAAAATAAATAAATAAATTTTAATAAATAAACATAAGATAAATAATTTACTATCATATTCAAGAAGCGGACATGGAAATTTATATAAAATAATGTGATTTGCTGAAGCAGATTTCCATGTACACCACACTCCAAAAGAAATAATAATCAGGGTAACATAAACTATTACACTCCAAAAATGGGATCTTCCTACACTGAAAAAAGAAAATCCAAAGAAACGAAAATCCAAAGAAATGAAATAGTAAAGGCAGTATGTTAATTTAATAGAACTTTATGCTAAAGTATCTGTCAGAAAATACTAAGGTTCTAAGGCTTAATAAAAGAAAATCTACCCACCCATAATTAAAAATAATAGTATTTGTATACCACAATGGAGAAAATGTCTTCCTGGAATATGTTGTCATGTTTAAAAATTATGTGAAGGGTTTAGCAAAAAGCATGAATATATTCCAAAAGTGCTCTCTTCTATCCCCATTTTATATAAATCTGGAGCCATTCTAAATCCGAATATAAAAAGATATGCTATACTGTTGACTACAGAATACTACAAAGTTTTATTGCCATTTAAACAAAGAAGCCATAACAGTTAAATGAGCTCAAGAAATAGGTTTCAGTATCACAAGGTGTCAGCTGTAAAGAGTTATGGCTAATTGAATATGGAACTCCTGCTTAATCAGATAACTGCTCTGCTATTTCCAAATGAAATGCCATTTCCATACTGCCTGAAAATGGCCCGTTTTATTGGTAACCAGAGAAAACAATATAAACTGTAAATAACATTAAGTGCTCTGTTTACCCATTCCAGGCAATGAAGTAGCAGGGGATCCAAGACGTCTTGGTAACACATTTGATGATAGGGCTGGAGCAACAGTTCTTTCCGGGGGTCCACCAGGGGCTGAACTATCCTTTGGTGGTCCAGGAGACACTGGAACTTGTGGAGAAGGGCCCTGGCTAGAGCTTGCTGGTGTTGGAGAAAGGTTTCTCTGAGCTGCAGTTCGCTGACGAATCTCTGAGAATAAGAATTAAAAAGTGTATTTTCAATTTATTATCTGTATTAGTCAATACCACAAATGACACATTTATTGAAGTTTTGTGGCACCAGAAAGCGTCTCTAGGGTCAAGACTTGTTGCAATAAGACATCTATAAAATGTACATTGAAAACTGACTATAACAAGAGTACTCCATTTCTGATCCTGTACTTCCAACTCCATATATTTACACAAAAAGCCTCAATCTATCTACAGATATCACTTTTCAAAATAAATTCAAAGAAAACAAAACCATCCCCAATTATGTGTCATGTCTTTTTATAGTAATCCTTCCTAATTTATGATAAAGGAAAATAAGTTTTATTAGAATTAGTGAAAACTCTAATGAAAATGGCAGATTTTTTCAAGATAAGAAAACATAACTCTAAGAAATGAATGAATAAGTATATTCTAGAATCTTCAAATAATTTATGAGTTACTAAATCTAAATAGTCACAAAAATGCTGAAAAAGTAATCTTTACTATTAGATACCATTCCCACCCTCTTTATATTATTACTATCTTTTTGGTAATTTTATTTTTTGGCCAATACATTCAATAAAGGAAAACTTCCACTCTGCATAAACAGTATCATCACAAATAAATCTAAATAAATCTCATCTTTTAGTTGCAAAAATTACAAGATTTTCTGTTTTAGGGGTTGGTAAAGGTGCCAAATCCAGACTCCTGCTCCTTTTTATCGTTTTTTTAAAACATGACAACACTCTTTTGTTTACATATTGCCTATAACTGCTTTAGAAGAACTGAGCACTTGCAACAGAGATCATAGGACTGTCAGAGCCATTTACTATATTTACTATCTGGCCCTTTACAGAAAGTTTCATGATTCCCTACTCCATAACATAAAACTCACTTCTATCATTTCCCCTTCCCACCAATATCTTACTGAAATGTCGATGGTAAGATCTCAAGTAAAAAAGTGCTTATAGCTTTTTAATTCTACATATCACCTTAAATTATCACAAATTCTGAAACAATAGGCTAAAACTAAAGAAGTTAGATTTTAATTGGCATAACTGGTAAAAATGCATACTTCAGAAGAAAAATATTTTAAGTTTGGACTCTATTTGGCAGTTACAGATTTTCATTAAAAGTTCATTGCAACAAAAAGTATATCTCTAGCATCAGACTTCAGTTAACTACAATCTAGCCTACTAGCTTAGAACCTGGGCCCTATAATCAGAAAAGTCTGGTTAGAATCCTACAGCTTTTTAAGACCTCAGATTGGATAACTTCACTAAACCTCTTTTTTTATCTGTAAATTTAGCATAATAATATTAACTCATATAATTTTAATAAGGATTAAATAAGATAATGTCTGTATTGATAGCTCACATTTATTGAATAATGTTTCAGATGACAGTATTTTCACACAAAGTATTTTCATTTTTTTTTTTTTTTAAAAACTTTTTTTATGTTTTATTTATTTCTAGTAGAGAGAGAGAGACAGCGTGAGCAGGGGAGGGTCAGAGAGAGAGGGAGTCACAGACTGAAACAGGCTCCAGGCTCTGAGCTGGCAGTCAGCACAGAGCCCGACGCGGGGCTCGAACCCACGAACCGCGAGATCATGACCTAAGCGAAAGTCGGACGCTTAACCGACTAAGCCACCCAGGCGCCCCACACAAAGTATTTTCAAATGACCAGTTAGACTGTTATTATTGTTATTATTGAGACTAACTAATTTTCCTCTGGCTCTTAATTTAGTCTCTATCCTAGCCCACTGAAATAATAAATTACAAGCAGATCATCATTATATAAATGGAACCGTCTTTGTATTTGGTAATTTTCCATGCAGTTCAGAAATTTTCAGATTTTACCTGGACTAACTGTATCCTAATATCTCCTGCAAAGTAGCTGGTTACTTAATTATCTTTTACTCCCAAGGAACACCTTAAAAGGTGGTTACACATTAGAAAAGCCATTAAATGCTGCCAAAACTACTGAGGGGCACCTGACTGGCTCAGTCAGTAGAGCATGCAACACTTGATCTCAAGGTCATGAGTTCAAGCTCCACGTTGGATGTAGAGTCTACTTAAAAAAAAAAAAAATCCTGCAAAATGTACTCAGATCAGTGAAATTATATTAAGATTTGTTCATTTGAATTAATTTTTAAAAACAAGGTATCAGGTACTGCAAATCATTTTTTAGGCAATTTTCAGATAAACCATAACTCAAAAAGACATTTTTCTACCAGATAAATAAAAGTTTAATATGTATTAGACTATATTAAAAGTAGCTATTAAGACTTGAAACTTCTGAATGTGCATGTACCCTGGGGCAATTAACTAAAGTACCCTTTTAACATCAGTCATGTACTACTGAAAGATGAGGTCTGTAACTAACTAGTTAACAAAGGACACCATGTCTAGCATTCCATGAAAGAGACCCTTGGCTTAATAATTTCTAAATCTAAATTTAGGCAGAAAAGGGAGAAAAATGACATGAGAATCAGGAAAAGGAGAAAACACAGTGTCATTGTTTTCAAAGGAAAAGCAAATAACAAAGAGAATAGCAATAGGTGAAAGTACCTAGTAGTACAATATCCGATCTATATTTCGTAAGGTGTTGTGAAATATTCTGATAGTCTCAATTTAAAATATCTAAGATTTATCTACTTTTAGTCACCTGCCATTCACAAATGTTTTGTATTATAATTTCAATAAAAAGCTTATGGTATTCAACTAAGTATTATATTAGATGTAAAATACCATCCCCCAAAAAGATTTACCAAGCATTTCTTATCAATCTGGTAAAGTATCATAAGGAGTATTCCATAAATTCAAGTCTTCACTACAGATGTTTCAACCTCCTTATCAGTGATCAATCACTGATTTAATAAAAATCACATTCAACAAGTATGAGTACATATCTATATTTTTAAATTCAAAATGAAACAAATAGAATCTGATTGAGATTGGGGAGCCTGGGTGGCTTAGTCGGTTAAGCGTCCGACTTTCGCTTAGGTCATGATCTCGCGGTTCGTGGGTTCGAGCCCCGCGTCGGGCTCTGTGCTGACTGCCAGCTCAGAGCCTGGAGCCTATTTCAGATTCTGTGTCTCCCTCTCTCTCTGACCCTCCCCTGCTCATGCTGTCTCTCTCTCTCTCTCTCCTAGAAATAAAAATATTTAAAAAAAAAAAAAGAATCTGATTGAGATTAAAAACCAGTATATTACAATAAAAAACAAATTTTAAAATAATGATAAAACAAGGTAGTTGTTAAAAAGCATAGACTCTGCCAGAAGTAAGTCAGAGAAAGATAAATACCATATGACTTCACTCATATGTCGAATTTAAGAAACAGATGAACATAGGGGTGAAAAAAAGAGAGGGGCAAACAGTAAAACCAGTATGGAGAACATACCGAGGGCTGCTGGAGGGGAGGGGAGAGGGGGATGGGTTAAATGGGGGATGAGTATTAAGGAGGGCACTTGTGATGAGCACTAGGTGTTGTACATAAGTGATGAATCACTAAATTCTATACCTGGAACTAATATTACACTGTATTTTAACTAAGTGAAATTTAAATAAAAACTTGAAACTTCAAAACACACACACACACACACACACACACACACAGACTCTGGGATCAAGCTGTGTGGATTTAAGTTTCAGCTCTACCCTGTTTATTAGATGTGCATGCAGCCTTTTCCAAGTTGATGCCAACTCTCAGTTCAGCTTCCTCATAATAGGAATACTAACCTCTTATGGTTGTTGTAAAGATTAAATGGGATAAGCAACACAAAGGGCTTAACCAAACACAGGTACTTAATAAGTAATAAATTTAGTAGTATTCATCTAAACTCGCCAGCAATTATAATAAATCAAAAGCTAAGCAACCTAGAACTTCCAAAGCCATAATTAAAATAAAATATAAACATTAATGTACACATTAAATGTTTTCCTAAAGTTATTTGTCAAAAAATAAATCCTCATATTTTCCCTAGCACTAGTCAAAGGTTTCCCGGACACTATGTCCAGTTCTAAGCCTCATAAGAAAAAGTGTCAAGAAAAAGCCTCATGATGCACATATATAAATGTGGAGATTTTGAAATTTAGTGTGAATAAGGCTCTTTATAAGTGATTACTAAATGTAGTTAGGTGAGATACAGGGATATAACTTCAGGAGAGTTTCCATTTTTAAATTTATATAAATTTTGGTCTCTGTTTAAATTTACATAATTCCTTTAAAAAATCAAAATAATAAAGAGCATGGATCTGACATCTCTTCTTTTTACTTTCAAAATTTTCTGAAGTTTATATTCACTGTATCATCTTCTACATATCCTACTAAGGCTAGGCTATGTTAAACTCAGCCTCTGCCCTATTTCTCCACTAAGACTGTTTTCTCAACGGGTGAATGACTTTAATAACAAAATTACTCCATAACCTTTCCTTCCCATAGAGGCAAAGCTTTGGGGAGGGAGGAAAAACTTCCCCTACATTTCACTCCTTAACCCAACACAATCTGTTTTTTTTGTCCTTCTTAGCTACCATAATATCACTCAACACTTAACACTGAAGATACCATTGCTTTGGTTACCAACAAACCTATACCATTACTGTTAACAGCTACTCTTTATCAAATCCCTATTATCTTCTAGGAACTATAGTAGGTGATTAATATGAGTTTAATAATTTCATCTAATATTTAGACCAACTCTTTAAGATAACTCTTATCCTTAGTTTTCAAAAGAAAAACCCAAACCTCAAAAGCTAAGTAACTCGCAAATTCTCACAGTAAAATAAGAGATGGAGGCAGGATACAAATCCCAGTTTTTATTACAATGCCTTGAACTCTATTATACATACAACTTATCAGATTCAATGGCCTTATTTGTCTTCTATTCACTTGACTCTTTGCAGACTATGACAACAGATGCATCTCTAACTACACTTCAACTCTCTAAATGACAGTTTAGTTCTACTTTTAACTCAAATCATTTGTTCTTCTTCCTGGGCT